TTCTTTTGTGTTGTGTTTAGTTTTGTTCTGTTCCCAAGTTGGTACATTTAAAAAAGATTTACCGTGGCGGAGCACGGGATGCAGCTAGTCTATAATATAAGCGGGCTGTGTCTGTCCTTCCTTCCGTCATCGTTATAGCTTTTGGAACCATAAAAGTAAACATCGCACCATGCAGTGCTTTTCAGTGCACCGCAGCGTCTTATTATAAGTAGTAGAGTAGAGTTTGTTTATATAACGACATAAGGTTATTTTATAAATGCTACTCTTTTGCATAACGTCAAGAAAATATTAAATACACTCACACTGCTAAAACGTATTAAAAAGATTAATGTCAAATAACATTTTCGTTTAGATTCCCAGAAAAAGTTGATACATTTTAATAACATAATAACAGTAGGGTAGAAAAATCAAATTAATTTAACTCTTTTTTCTAATTTTGACAATGGAGGTAATTTAAAAATAAATTAAACTCACACTAATAAACAAGTTAATTAAAAAGTTTAGAGACATTTAAGCGCAATTTCCTTATGTTATCTAAAATTAGCTCTGTCGTAGCGTAAATCAAGAGCAGGGTTAGTAAAACCATTGGTTGGTTATTAAAACGTTTTATATTAAAAAAAAATTCAGTATTTTACATGTTTTATTTACAATAGAGTTACATGACTAAAAACCATTGCGCGCCTAGCTACCGAACGTGATGTCGCAGCCATTGAACGTGATGGCGCAGCTATTGAACGTGATGACGCGTGTGGTGTGGTTGGATAAAAATGCCTACTAATTCGGTCCAAATTTTAATTAATTAAAAAATTTGTTTGTGACCGAACGAAAGGATATTTTTGAAAACTTTCTTCGGCAATATTGTTCTAAATTATGGCAGAAATCGATTGGTACATGTTTCAAGTCGCTAAGTGGTCTGGTTGCCGAGATATGGGCCAAAAACTGCATTTTTTCGAGTTTTTTTGGCTTTTCCGGGAAATCCATGAAAGAAACCCGGAATTTTTATGGCCTATGTTCATCCTCGTAACTTGCTTAACATAATTGCTTTTGGAACTAGTCATCGATATTGCTTCGTTGAGGAGGAGATACGACTTAAAGCTGCGGACACACATCCATCCATCCATTCATACTTCCAGAAATGACGGGTTAATAAACGCAATTCTCCAGAATAAAAATTGCGCTAAAAAAATGTGAATGCAAATCTACAGTCGTCCTAGAAGGAATTAGTGTTGCTATAACATAATTAGCAAAATGTGAATGCAAATTGTGCGGATGTGGAAGAGGAAATTATTGTTAGAAAATTATAATTAGCATGGATTGATAAAAGGCAATCTTTTATTTATTTTATTCACTGAATGTACTGTTTACTACTTCTAATTTTTATTCAACTATTCCGCACATCCTAACATATACTATTATGATATACCCCTCCCAGCAAACCCTACATGACCTCACCTCCTTTACATATTAAGAGGGGTATGGGTCATTAGCTAGTGTTTACATTAATTACTTAGACTACTCTATTAAATGTAATTAGAAATGAACAAAAACATTTTTTACCCATTTTAATGTTAATTAAGGTCCACAAAACTATGATAAATAAAAGACATCATTATCCAAAGCAATGCTGGTAGGTCTACTTATATTAATAGTCAATATATATATTTAACAACACTTACAGTAGCATGATAGATATTTTTTTTCATGCTTGCTTTCACATTGCCATTTACAACACCATCTTCAAAATGGCAACTGATAACATCACCAGACAAATAGTGATTATCTCCTCGTTTAATAGATTTGATACTATCAGAGTAAAAGTTCATTAATTTTGTGATGGAAAAATGGTTGGCCATGACTTAAAAAGTATCTTCAGTGATCGGTAATTTCCTGAAATGTTCTAGAGAACAATGATCTTATTATAAGACAAATTAATTGTGAATACATACTAAATATATCTACAAAAAAATCATTACAAAATCATTGAAGCTAGTTAACTTAAACTTTAAATGCTTTAATTTATTAAGTAATGTAGGCTACATGAGGATTTGTATTTTTTATAGCTATGTAATACTAATATACATAACCCAAGCCCTTAACATCACTTTAGTCTAAAATAAACATCTAGTATACATAGGCCCTACTAAATATAGTAGTATAGGCCTAGAATCTAGATCTAACAATAAATCTAGCCTTTGTGGCTTAATTATTAAAATATTAACATAGATGGTCCTGCTAATTTGTTCACTGTAGCTTATGTTAAGCTAGGCGGCAAAATTAGAATCTAGATCTGGTAATAAACTAATAATAACTACTAGACAGACTAGATCTAGATACATTACTTTTCTACTAACTTAGTAGAAAAGTAATAGTAACCTACTTATACTACTTATAGATTAACTTTTTTTTGTTTGTTTAGTGTTTGTATTGGTGTTTGTGGTTGTTTTTGTTGTTAGGTTTTTGTTTTCGTTTGTATTTGTAATTGTGTTAGCGTTATGTTTGCGTTATGTTGTTTTGGTTGGTTGTGGTTTGGGTGGGCAATGCCGGGTTTATGATGATTACTAAACACACAGGTAATGGTCTTTAACAGAAAGGTTTTTCACAGAAGCCAGATAAGTTTCCACTAATGCAATGTTTTATAAAGGGAAGTAATTGTGTTTTCCTAATTTATCAAAGGGAAGTAAGTGCTAAAGGACTAAATATAAATAATTTTCAGACATAATTAGAATTTTTGTTATTTTTTTTAAAATTGTGTTTAATGAACATGCCGACAATTATTACTATCAGTTTGAAAAATGAAAATTATTTCCCAACACTTTCAATAGTAATTTTTTAACTCATAAATTTAGACTGTGAGCATGATAATAGTCTAACACTTAAATCCATTGAAGTACGTCAACGACAAACAAACAAACTTTTTTTTACATACAGAATTGAGCTTTATATATTAGATTCTCTTCTGGGAGACGCTAGAAAACAAGCTGTAAGCGCGCCTCCTAGCAGCCCTCTCTTCCTCTCTAGACATATCGCAACCACCCTCACCCCTTTATGGTCTGGTGAGCTGTGGTTCACGCTAAATGTTTACTTTAACGGAGGGGGGTGGGGGTTATCGTCCTTAACGAGCTACTTATAGTGTTTTAAAGAAATATTTTCAGTGGCAGCGTTGGTACTGTCGAATTCACAAATTGTGAATTACTGAAAAGTAGAAAAAAACAACAACTAAATAGCGGCGTATGATATGCTGCGAGTCGACTAGTTACTGGCCGCCAGTAGTAGATCTATATGTTGTGATTGAATTTGAGATTGAGCCTTGGGAAGGCTGCCAGAAAAAAAGGTTGTATATTATTTCAATCGATGATAACAATGATGGAGCCAATACATTATTATATATTCATATAATTTAACTGTCTTTAAGGGTTTCGAGAAATATAATAACGTACATTTTATAATAATTTAAGAATTAAATGTTGTAATACTTTATAAAAATTTTGTTTACTTAATTTTTTGAATATTTTAATTTAAAATATACACACAAGTATTTGCATATTTTTGTACAATTTAATGTTGTTTTAGAGCTACAAAAAAGTAATTACTTTTATAAAGTTATCTGCCTTGGAAACAGCATATGCAGGCTACGTGTTATTCCCCTTGTTAAAATCAATTATTTTGTCCATCTTTAAATGGTAAGCTAAGTAGAGAAACCAATAAGTTCCACAACATAGTTTTTTTTCCATTTATTAATCTTTTACTTTATTTAATTTCTTTTTTTTTTGTTTATTAAAAATTGTTTTTATCTTATTCTTAGTCAGGCTACATTATTAGTTACTGTTACCTCGATAGCAGTAGTTTATTAAACAAAAAGTGATTGGTAGCGTGGTGTCTATCAACGTTTTTAACGAGATTTAACGTGATTACGGGTAACTCTAATCAATAGCGCGGCAAGAAAGGTAAACAAAACTGTAGACGTCTACTAGATCTAGATCTAGAATCTAGATTTCTACACTAATTAATAGTCTATATGTTTATAGGGATATATATAGAATCTAGGCTTGTTTAGATTATTTAGTTTATTTAATTCAGAAAGTGTAACAGAGTGTTTGCTTACATCAATCAAGTAATCCGGATTGTGATAAGAGCTAGTCTAGCTAGTAGCTAGAGTGCTGCTAGAGTGAGTCTAGCTGGTACTAGCTACTACTAACTACTAGATCCACATATTATTATTACATAATCAGTGTGTCTTCCAGACCTTTTTCTCCGGGGGGGGGGGGGGCACTCGAAATTTTCGGGGGGGGGGGGGGGGGCGGACACCGTTAAAACTAAAAGTATATATTTTCGGTAAAATCTTAGTTTAGCGTAGTAAATTCCAACGCTGCTAGTAACTAAGTAACTAGTAATGTGCGATGAAGGTAACGAATTAATATTTCTTTCATTTGGCCATGTAGAATCTTTTTGTCATATTTTAAATAATATAGATTGAATAACAAATCACAATCCATGACCAAACCAGTCAAAAATATCCTGGAATAAACTTTAAGCTACCCTGTTCAAGACAACAATGAGTAAAAATACAAGCAGCGGCCATGTTTCAAAAACAATAATAGAGTAGTTTCCCTGGAAAAATTGTCTATTCGCATGTCTGTTGTGTTGGTTTTGTGATTTAATATGGTTGTTTTGTATTGTTTTAATATATGCCTGGGTAAAATCACGATATAGCGTCGGAAATTATTGGGTAATGTTCGTTGAGTTTCGGTAACATTCGTTACTGTGAACCATAGTTTATTTGACAGTTGAAAGAAAAATAAAGTCAAGTGCATTAAATTAATGTTTTAACTTAATTTAATGTTTAACTGACAAAAAATTAGCAACAATTAGTAAATCTAAATATTATTAATAAAGTCGAGTGTAGTAATTAATGTTTTTTTTAAGAAACAGAAAAAACCTGCAGAAGATTTGCGACAACCAGCTCTAGTTCTGTTAGTAAATACGACGATTAGATTTACTAAAGTAAAAGTAGTAAGAATGTAGTTAACAATGTAAACGAAATGTAAAGTCTGCATCAAATATCACTGTAAATTGTGCGCTGTAAAATTTTCGCAAATATCTTCGCATCCTACCTCCTACCACCACCCTGCGTAAGTATCGGTTGGTGGTAATATGAGAGGCAAAAATGTCACATGACTGATGGTTTTCTGTTTTCACTCCCTTCTCGCAGTTTACTGCCTCGCCATTTCACTTTTTACGTCTCGCAATTTCCCAACACCCTAAAATCTAGATCTACCATTGGAGCTAGATCTGGCTAACGGCTAAGCTAAACTTAAGTCTTAAAACTTATTTAAGTTATTACTTATTAGTAAGTTATTAAGCCCTACTTAGGCTCTACAAAACTAGAACCAAAATTGAAATAATATTTAATATTAGCCTAAAAACTAAATATTAATTTTCTAAATATTAGGGCAATATTATTATTATTAATAGTCTTAATAACAAGTTAATAATAAATAGGGGCCTAATATTTATAGATATTCTCGCTAAATCTAAAATTTACTCTATTTGCAATTTAAACATGACCACTGATTAATAGACATCCATATTTAATCCATTACGTACTAATTTTGAGGTTTTTTAGTTTGTTTTAAACTAAGTTACATTATTTAAGTTTTATTGTCACTCACTGCCATGAGCATGGTATGACACACCATTCTATATCAACCCATGTTATATCACTCTTAAGTTGGAAGCTACTGCAAACCACTAATTGGTTAGACTATTAGTAGGGCTTAATATAATATTATCTTAAGTTTTGCTTAGCTGTTAGCTAGAATGCTAGATCGAGATTATATGGAGCCTATACTACTAGCCAGATAGGCATATATAATTATTTTATTAAGATTCTAATCTAGATATAAAAAAAGTAAAGTTCTCCTTTCAAATCCAAGTTGAGACCTTGGGGTTAGCATGCTATGTTATTATTAAAAGAAATTTATAAGAGCACTCTGGATAATTCCAGATTGACAGTTGCTAAAATAAAAAATGTTTGAACAAATGTAAATTTTGAAAATGAAAGATCTATCAGTTTTGAAAATGAAAGATCTATCAGAAACGTATGAACTCATACAGTATCTGCCAGGATGTGCTTGGCTGTGCTGATTATAATTTTCAGTGATTAGGTTTAAGTCCTGTAAAGTTCATCAATGCTATGACCAAGTTCAATAAAATAATTGGAAATACTTTTTTAGATGGATGTTTCTGATTTTGACCAAACGCAAGCCATACATTTAGAAGATTTTGAAGAGAGTGATGATGCCACAGATGAACTAGTTCCTGAGGAAGATAAGAAACCAGTAAGTCAGCTTGAATTCACTTGTCTATTCTTACAGTACCATGAATTTTTATCAACAGATTAAGCTTGTGTTCCCGCAATGTTCTTTAATAACTATGTTGAATGCCAAGGCCATAATATCTAGTCCAAACAGAACTGCTAATTTAAACCCCATTAAGGGCATAGAGACTATGCCAAAAACTGCTACTTTAACCCCTTTATTGATTAACCCTCTATAGTCCCATGCAGCCTATATCGTTTGAGCATTTTTTTGTGTGGTGCTGTTGTTTGATGCATCCATTGTTTATTTTAGTCGATGATTTTAGTAGCCCACTGTGTCTCTAGTGTAAGGCGCTATGTCAATGATTTTAGTCGCCCACTGTGGGTGCTACAGTGCTCATGAGGAAGGTCTGGGCGCAGGGTAACATCTGTCTAATATTTCATGGTGCTTGGGCGACAGCAGACATGCCTACCGTCCCGCCAAAATCGGAACCATCCCGCTTTTTCACCTAAAAAAGTCATTTGTTCCGCCTTTCCGAAATTGACTCAGTTATTTCCGATTTAGTTGTTTTATTTTCTACTTTTCAGTAATTCATAATTTGTGAATTCGACAGTACCAATGCTGCCACTGAAAATATTTGCTTTAAAACACTACCCCCCCCCCGTGAAAGCAGCCTCCTCTTAGTTACCTCCTGTAAGTTTAAAATCGTTTCAAACTAAATTATCTGCCCCTAATAGCCGTCAACAAACCCGGCTCTACGATTTGTAAACATTTAGAGTGAACCACAGCTCACCAGATCATGTGGGGGTGATAGTGATAGAGAGGAAGAGAGGGGACTGCAAAGGCGCGCTTGCAGCTTGTTTTCTAACGGCTCCCAGAAGAGAATTATATATATAGATTGAAAAAATTTCAGGAAAAAGCAATTATCTCCCTTTGGCATATGTTTCTGTTTCCTAGTTTACTTACAATATTTACCAGTATCATCTAATACTAGATTTAGATCTAGTTAGTAGTATTTCTACTACTACTAGATCTAGATCTACTAGTAAATACTGAAATAGTGAATACTGATCTATCTTGTAAGTTTAACTTAACTAGTAACTACTATTATGAAGAACTTAGTAAGAAGTAACTAGGAGTTTTACTAGGTAGATCTTTGCTCGTAACTTATATATTACATATGAAGCCCTCAACATTTGTTATTCATATAGCATAGAACATAGCAAGACATAAATAATCAAATCAATGTTATGTCAAAGCTATGATTGTTATTTCGGGGGGGGGTAGGGGGGTTACTGGTTAATTTATTTTTTAAAATGTAAGCTGACATTAAGCAGTATTTTAATGTATCCTAGTTATATAGGACTAGAAGCCTACTAATGTCATTAAAGTAATTTTTAATTAATTTTTTTTATTTTTGACTTAGTAAAGTTGCGTCCGCGCGTATGTTCCTCTTTTTGGCTTCAAATTCCTCTTTTTAGGCATGACTGTTCCTACTTTTGGCTGACAGGGGTAGGCATGTCTGCGACAGTGTAGTAATGCATGAAACACCCCCAGGCATACCTAATTAACTTAGACAATTTTCCTTAAGTATGTCATGTCTGCGACAGTGTAGTAATGCATGAAACACCCCCAGGCATACCTAATTAACTTAGACAATTTTCCTTAAGTATGTCATGTCTGCGACAGTGTAGTAATGCATAAAACACCCCCAGGCATACCTAATTAACTTAGACAATTTTCCTTAAGTATGTGGACATTTTTAAAAATAAAACAGTAGCGTGTAGTATTGCTTGGTCATACAGGAATGTAAAGCTTGAGACAGACTTTAAGAGTTAACGTGACATATTTAAGAAGTATTGCTTGGTCATACAGGAATGTAAAGCTTGAGACAGACTTTAAGAGTTAACGTGACATATTTAAGAAGTATTGCTTGGTCATACAGGAATGTAAAGCTTGAGACAGACTTTACGAGTTAACGTGACATATTTAAGAAGTATTGCTTGGTCATACAGGAATGTAAAGCTTGAGACAGACTTTAAGAGTTAACGTGACATATTTAAGAAGTATTGCTTGGTCATACAGGAATGTAAAGCTTGAGACAGACTTTAAGAGTTAACGTGACATATTTAAGAAGTAAATGAATTTTGTACCCACAGGTGAGCTATCTAAAAATTGTCTTACAAAAAGGATTAAGGGAGACAACATATCCACTATATGAAGGTCAGGTCATTTATTTCATACATCTTGTTTTCACTAGCAGCCTTGGTCTGATAAAGGCCATCATTACAACAGCAGACATACCCACCATCCCGTTTTTTTTACAAAAAATCATGTCCTGTTCTGCCGTCATTTTTTGTTGAAGTTTAAAAAAAAAAGAAAAGTAATAAATCAAATTGAAAAAAAAAGAGCCAGGGAAAAGCTATTATCTCCCTTTGGCACACGTTTCTGTGTCCTAGTTTACTTGCAATATTAACAAGTATCATTTAATACTAGATCTAATAATAGCTAATGTGGACTATCTAGCTTCTTAATGTTCTTTTTAGTATTTGCTATTGAATTGTAGATTTAAATTATGCCTTAGATAACATGTAGGGAGAAAAAAACAATAAATTCATGACTAATTATCTAATTTCTAGATCTAGACTAGTTTAACTAGATAGAATCTAGTCTGTCTAGAGTCTATAATAGATCTAGAGTAGCTAGATACTTAACAGATCTATCTTGTAAAAGTTGTAACTGCTTAGACTAAGAACTAAATTAGAAGTAACCAGGACTTTTACTAGGTAGATCTAGGTCTTGACTTATATTTTATATTACATACGAAGCCTTCAGCATTTGTTGCTCATATAGCCTAGAGGCAGGAATATTAAAATCAATATGAATAATGTTATGTGAAGCTATGGTTTTTATTGGAGGGGGAGGGTATGCCTCAGGTTACTGATTACCTTTTTTTTTTAATGTAAGCTGACATTAAGCAGTATTTAAATGTAGCCTAGAGACTAGATATATATGACTAGAAGCCTACTAATGTCATTAGACTAATTTTTAATTAATTATTTTTGACTTAGTAAAGTAGCGTCCGCGCATATGTTCCTCTTTTTGGCTTCAGATTCCTCTTTTTAGGCATGACTGTTCCCTTTTGGCTGATAGGGGTAGTCATGTCTGCAACAGACTATAAAACATGTTCAATGTTTGTACTTCAAATGGCTTACATAGGCCAAATATTTTTTTTTGTTGGTTGACAACCTTGATAATTAGATTTGTATCCTGTGTAGGGGACAACATTGATAATTAGATTTGTATCTTGTGCAGTTGACAACATTGATAATTAGATTTGTATCTTGTGTAGGTGACAACCTTGATTATTAGATTTGTATCTTGTGTAGGGGACCACATTGATAATTAGATTTGTATCTTGTGTAGGTGACAACCTTGATAATTAGATTTGTATCTTGTGTAGGTGACAACCTTGATAATTAGATTTGTATCTTGTGTAGGGGACAACATTGATAATTAGATTTGTATCTTGTGTAGGGGACCACATTGATAATTAGATTTGTATCTTGTGTAGGGGACCACATTGATAATTAGATTTGTATCTTGTGTAGGTGACAACCTTGATAATTAGATTTGTATCTTGTGTAGGGGACAACATTGATAATTAGATTTGTATCTTGTGTAGGGGACCACATTGATAATTAGATTTGTATCTTGTGTAGGGGACCACATTGATAATTAGATTTGTATCTTGTGTATCGGACGACATTGATAATTAGATTTGTATGTTGTGTAGGGGACAACATTGATAATTAGATTTGTATCTTGTGTAGGTGACAACATTGATAATTAGATTTGTATCTTGTGTAGGGGACAACATTGATAATTAGATTTGTATCTTGTGTAGGGGACCACATTAATAATTAGATTTGTATCTTGTGTAGGTGACAACATTGATAATTAGATTTGTATCTTGTGTAGTTGACAACATTGATAATTAGATTTGTATCTTGTGTAGGGGACAACATTGATAATTAGATTTGTATCTTGTGTAGGGGACAACATTGATAATTAGATTTGTATCTTGTGTAGGTGACAACATTGATAATTAGATTTGTATGTTGTGTAGGTGACAACATTGTTGGAAGAAGTGCTGACACCTGCCATGTATGCATTTCTTCCAAGGTAACATTTTCTTCTACAATTTGCCACTCATCATATTCACTTTGTCACTTGTCATATTCTTTTTGTCACTTTCCATATTCACTTTGTCAGTTGTCATACTCACTTTGTCAGTTATCACTTTGGCATTTGGATTCATTAGCACCTGTACTGTTGTGCCATCTGTGTTGTGACAAGCCTATCTATTGTGAGAAAGCAGTGAGTAGTGAGGTGCATTTATTCCCCAGTCTCTGTCCAAGGAACATGCCTGCATACAGATCATCAGCAACACTCACATGATTTTTGATAAAGGAAGCAGGAACAAAACACGCAGAGGCAAAGTAAAAACACTGCTTTCATTAAAAGTTGACTTGCTTACCTGATTGCTTTAATTAGTGATTAAATTGGTCAGTTATTGCTTTAATTAATGATTAGATTGGTCAGTTCCTAGGTTTAATTAGTGATTAGATTGGGCATTTTGTTTACTGAAAGGCGACAGGTTGCAAGAATTTTGTGTGGATTAATTTTTCAGCTGTACTTAAGTCCAGAGGTGCGCTATGAGTTAAAGAATAACGATGAAATAACCTTTGCTGACGTCAAGTGTCTGTACATTGTACCCACACAGGTATGCACTGCTGGCTTTTTAGACACCGAGAAAAACCTCTCCCAAACATTCATATGCATGTTTAGATTAAAAAATTACATTTACCTCATCTACTCCACCTCTAACAGCTGCTCTGTTGGTCACCTAATAGAGGCATATAACAGTGCAGCTAGCCAAACCAATTCATTTCAGAATGATGATACAGTTTCTGAGTCTGATGAGTCATTGGTTCTCCAGTTGGAGGCCACAGCTAGCAGTTACACTCATGATGAGAAACTAGATGTCAAAGCAAATGAGCAAGATGTCAGCTCTCTTGGGGAGTGTTTAGTTCCACTCACACAGGTAGGGAATGTTCACTCACACAGGTAGGCAATGTTCCACTCACACAGGTAGGGAATGTTCACTCACACAGGTAAGCAATGTTCACTCACACAGGTAGGGAATGTTCACTCACAGGTAGGCAATGTTCACTCACACAGGTAGGGAATGTTCCACTCACACAGGTAGGCAATGTTCACTCACACAGGTAGGGAATGTTCACTCACACAGGTAGGGAATGTTCCACTCACACAGGTAGGGAATGTTCCACTCACACAGGTAGGCAATGTTCCACTCACACAGGTAGGCAATGTTCCACTCACACAGGTAGGCAATGTTCCACTCACACAGGTAGGCAATGTTCCACTCACACAGGTAGGGAATGTTCCACTCACACAGGTAGGGAATGTTCCACTCACACAGGTAAAGAATGTTCCACTCACACAGGTAGGCAATGTTCCACTCACACAGGTAGGCAATGTTCCACTCACACAGGTAGGCAATGTTCACTCACAGGTAGGCAATGTTCCACTCACACAGGTAGGCAATGTTCCACTCACACAGGTAGGCAATGTTCACTCACACAGGTAGGGAATGTTCCACTCACACAGGTAGACAATGTTCCACTCACACAGGTAGGCAATGTTCCACTCACACAGGTAGGCAATGTTCCACTCACACAGGTAGGCAATGTTCCACTCACACAGGTAGGCAATGTTCACTCACACAGGTAGGGAATGTTCACTCACACAGGTAGGGAATGTTCACTCACACAGGTAGGCAATGTTCACTCACACAGGTAGGCAATGTTCCACTCACACAGGTAGGCAATGTTCCACTCACACAGGTAGGGAATGTTCACTCACACAGGTAGGCAATGTTCCACTCACACAGGTAAGCAATGTTCCACTCACACAGATAGGCAATGTCCCACTCACAGGTAGGGAATGTTCCACTCACACAGGTAGGGAATGTTCCACTCACACAGGTAGGCAATGTTCACTCACACAGGTAGGCAATGTTCCACTCACACAGGTAGGGAATGTTCCACTCACACAGGTAGGAGGTAGGCAATGTTCCACTCACACAGGTAGGGAATGTTCCACTCACACAGGTAGGCAATGTTCCACTCACACAGGTAGGCAAGGTTCCAATCACACAGGTAGGGAATGTTCCACTCACACAGGTAGGCAATGTTCCACTCACACAGGTAGGCAATGTTCCACTCACACAGGTAGGCAATGTTCCACTCACACAGGTAGGGAATGTTCACTCACACAGGTAAGCAATGTTCACTCACACAGGTAGGGAATGTTCACTCACAGGTAGGCAATGTTCACTCACACAGGTAGGGAATGTTCCACTCACACAGGTAGGCAATGTTCACTCACACAGGTAGGGAATGTTCACTCACACAGGTAGGGAATGTTCCACTCACACAGGTAGGGAATGTTCCACTCACACAGGTAGGCAATGTTCCACTCACACAGGTAGGCAATGTTCCACTCACACAGGTAGGCAATGTTCCACTCACACAGGTAGGCAATGTTCCACTCACACAGGTAGGGAATGTTCCACTCACACAGGTAGGGAATGTTCCACTCACACAGGTAAAGAATGTTCCACTCACACAGGTAGGCAATGTTCCACTCACACAGGTAGGCAATGTTCCACTCACACAGGTAGGCAATGATCCACTCACACAGGTAGGGAATGTTCACTCACAGGTAGGCAATGTTCCACTCACACAGGTAGGCAATGTTCACTCACAGGTAGGCAATGTTCCACTCACACAGGTAGGCAATGTTCCACTCACACAGGTAGGCAATGTTCACTCACACAGGTAGGGAATGTTCCACTCACACAGGTAGACAATGTTCCACTCACACAGGTAGGCAATGTTCCACTCACACAGGTAGGCAATGTTCCACTCACACAGGTAGGCAATGTTCCACTCACACAGGTAGGCAATGTTCACTCACACAGGTAGGGAATGTTCACTCACACAGGTAGGGAATGTTCACTCACACAGGTAGGCAATGTTCACTCACACAGGTAGGCAATGTTCCACTCACACAGGTAGGCAATGTTCCACTCACACAGGTAGGGAATGTTCACTCACACAGGTAGGCAATGTTCCACTCACACAGGTAGGCAATGTTCCACTCACAGATAGGCAATGTCCCACTCACAGGTAGGGAATGTTCCACTCACACAGGTAGGGAATGTTCCACTCACACAGGTAGGCAATGTTCACTCACACAGGTAGGCAATGTTCCACTCACACAGGTAGGGAATGTTCCACTCACACAGGTAGGAGGTAGGCAATGTTCCACTCACACAGGTAGGGAATGTTCCACTCACACAGGTAGGCAATGTTCCACTCACACAGGTAGGCAATGTTCCAATCACACAGGTAGGGAATGTTCCACTCACACAGGTAGGCAATGTTCCACTCACACAGGTAGGCAATGTTCCACTCACACAGGTAGGCAATGTTCACTCACACAGGTAGGCAGTGTTCACTCACACAGGTAGGCAATGTTCCACTCACACAGGTAGGGAATGTTCCACTCACACAGGTAGGGAATGTTCCACTCACACAGGTAGGCAATGTTCCACTCACACAGGTAGGCAATGTTCCACTCACACAGGTAGGCAATGTTCCACTCACACAGGTAGGGAATGTTCACTCACACAGGTAGGCAATGTTCCACTCACACAGGTAGGCAATGTTCCACTCACACAGGTAGGCAATGTTCCACTCACACAGGTAGGCAATGTTCCACTCACACAGGTAGGGAATGTTCCACTCACACAGGTAGGCAATGTTCCACCCACACAGGTAGGGAATGTTTCACTCACACAGGTAGGGAATGTTCAAACACAGGTAGGGAATGTTCCACTCACACAGGTAGGCAATGTTCCACTCACACAGGTAGGCAATGTTCACTCACACAGGTAGGGAATGTTCCACTCACACAGGTAGGGAATGTTTCACTCACACAGGTAGGGAATGTTCACTCACAGGTAGGCAATGTTCACTCACACAGGTAGGGAATGTTCCACTCACACAGGTAGGGAATGTTCCACTCACACAGGTAGGGAATGTTCCACTCACACAGGTAGGGAATGTTCCACTCACACAGGTAGGCAATGTTCCTCTCACACAGGTAGGGAATGTTCACTCACACAGGTAGGAAATGTTCCACTCACACAGGTAGGGAATGTTCACTCACACAGGTAGGGAATGTTCCACTCACACAGGTAGGCAATGTTCCACTCACACAGGTAGGAAATGTTCACTCACACAGGTAGGGAATGTTCCACTCACACAGGTAGGCAATGTTCCACTCACACAGGTAGGAAATGTTCCACTCACACAGGTAGGCAATGTTCCACTCACACAGGTAGGGAATGTTCACTCACACAGGTAGGGAATGTTCCACTCACACAGGTAGGCAATGTTCCACTCACACAGGTAGGCAATGTTCCACTCACACAGGTAGGGAATGTTCCACTCACACAGGTAGGCAATGTTCCACTCACACTGGTAGGGAATGTTCCACTCACACAGGTAGGCAATGTTCCACTCACACAGGTAGGGAATGTTCACTCACACAGGTAGGGAATGTTCCACTCACACAGGTAGGCAATGTTCCACTCTCACAGGTAGGCAATGTTCCACTCACACAGGTAGGCAATGTTCCACTCACAGGTAGGGAATGTTCCACTCACACAGGTAGGGTATGTTCCACTCATACAGGTAGGCAATGTTCCACTCACACAGGTAGGCAATGTTCCACTCACACAGGTAGGGAATGTTCCACTCACACAGGTAGGGAATGTTCCACTCACACAGGTAGGGAATGTTCACTCACACAGGTAGGGAATGTTCACTCACACAGGTAGGGAATGTTCCACTCACACAGGTAGGGAATGTTCCACTCACACAGGTAGGCAATGTTCCACTCACACAGGTAGGCAATGTTCCACTCACACAGGTAGGGAATGTTCCACTCACACAGGTAGGGAATGTTCCACTCACACAGGTAGGGAATGTTCCACTCACACAGGTAGGGAATGTTCCACTTACACAGGTAGGGAATGTTCCACTCACACAGGTAGGGAATGTTCCACTCACACAGGTAGGCAATGTTCCACTCACACAGGTAGGCAATGTTCACTCACACAGGTAGGGAATGTTCCACTCACACAGGTAGGGAATGTTCCACTCAGGTAGGGAATGTTCCACTCACACAGGTAGGCAATGTTCACTCACACAGGTAGGCAATGTTCACTCACACAGGTAGGGAATGTTCCACTCACACAGGTAGGGAATGTTCCACTCACACAGGTAGGGAATGTTCCACTCACACAGGTAGGCAATGTTCCACTCACACAGGTAGGCAATGTTCACACACACAGGTAGGGAATGTTCCACTCACACAGGTAGGGAATGTTCCACTCACACAGGTAGGGAATGTTCCACTCACACAGGTAGGCAATGTTCCACTCACACAGGTAGGCAATGTTCCACTCACACAGGTAGGGAATGTTCCACTCACACAGGTAGGCAATGTTCCACTCACACAGGTAGGCAATGTTCCACTCACACAGGTAGGCAATGTTCACTCACACAGGTAGGGAATGTTCCACTCACACAGGTAGGGAATGTTTCACTCACACAGGTAGGGAATGTTCACTCACAGGTAGGCAATGTTCACTCACACAGGTAGGGAATGTTCCACTCACACAGGTAGGGAATGTTCCACTCACAGGTAGGGAATGTTTCACTCACACAGGTAGGGAATGTTCACTCACAGGTAGGCAATGTTCACTCACACAGGTAGGGAATGTTCCACTCACACAGGTAGGGAATGTTCCACTCACACAGGTAGGGAATGTTCCACTCACACAGGTAGGGAATGTTCCACTCACACAGGTAGGCAATGTTCCTCTCACACAGGTAGGGAATGTTCACTCACACAGGTAGGAAATGTTCCACTCACACAGGTAGGGAATGTTCACTCACACAGGTAGGGAATGTTCCACTCACACAGGTAGGCAATGTTCCACTCACACAGGTAGGAAATGTTCACTCACACAGGTAGGGAATGTTCCACTCACACAGGTAGGCAATGTTCCACTCACACAGGTAGGCAATGTTCCACTCACACAGGTAGGCAATGTTCCACTCACACAGGTAGGGAATGTTCACTCACACAGGTAGGGAATGTTCCACTCACACAGGTAGGCAATGTTCCACTCACACAGGTAGGCAATGTTCCACTCACACAGGTAGGGAATGTTCCACTCACACAGGTAGGCAATGTTCCACTCACACTGGTAGGGAATGTTCCACTCACACAGGTAGGCAATGTTCCACTCACACAGGTAGGGAATGTTCACTCACACAGGTAGGGAATGTTCCACTCACACAGGTAGGCAATGTTCCACTCTCACAGGTAGGCAATGTTCCACTCACACAGGTAGGCAATGTTCCACTCACAGGTAGGGAATGTTCCACTCACACAGGTAGGGTATGTTCCACTCATACAGGTAGGCAATGTTCCACTCACACAGGTAGGCAATGTTCCACTCACACAGGTAGGGAATGTTCCACTCACACAGGTAGGGAATGTTCCACTCACACAGGTAGGGAATGTTCACTCACACAGGTAGGGAATGTTCACTCACACAGGTAGGGAATGTTCACTCACACAGGTAGGGAATGTTCCACTCACACAGGTAGGCAATGTTCCACTCACACAGGTAGGGAATGTTCCACTCACACAGGTAGGGAATGTTCCACTCACACAGGTAGGGAATGTTCCACTCACACAGGTAGGGAATGTTCCACTCACACAGGTAGGGAATGTTCAAACACAGGTAGGGAATGTTCCACTCACACAGGTAGGGAATGTTCCACTCACACAGGTAGGGAATGTTCCACCCACCCACTCAAGTAGGGAATGTTCCACTCACTTAGATCAATCAATATAATACAAACATTTCTAAATGCAAAGCTTTAGATCTAGAAATCAAATTCAATACAGAGTTCAAATGTCTGTAGACTAACAAATGTCTGTAGACTAACAAATGACTGTAGACTAACAAATGTCTGTAGACTAACAAATGACTGTAGACTAACAAATGACTGTAGACTAACAAATGACTTTAGACTAACAAATGACTGTAGACTAACAAATGACTGTATATTTAAGTTTTTCATTTGTTTCCAAATCTTTTTTCCCTAGTCATTCACTGTGTTGGACCAACAGAAACCATGTAGGTACTTCCTTTAGTTGACTGGTATTTGGTTCAGGCTTTCATTTGTAACTTCCTCAGGCTAGTTGTTTTTACATTTGAATTATTGAGAGCTAGCATACAAACACTCCATCACAGACCATTACTATTCCCAGCACAAATGCTTGTATGTTCCCAGCACAAATACTTGTATGTTCCCAGCACAAATGCTTGTATATTCCCAGCACACATGCTTGTATGTTCCCAGCACAAATGCTTGTATGTTCCCAGCACACATGCTTGTATGTTCCCAAAACAAATGCTTGTATGTTCCCAGCACAAATGCTTGTATGTTCCCAGCACAAATGCTTGTATGTTCCCAGCACAAATGCTTGTATGTTCCCAGCACAAATGCTTGTATGTTCCCAGCACACATGCTTGTATGTTCCCAAAACAAATGCTTGTATGTTCCCAGCACAAAGGCTTGTACGTTCCAAAAACAAATGCTTGTATGTTCCCAGCACAAATGCTTGTACATTCCAAAAACAAATGCTTGTATGTTCCCAAAACAAATGCTTGTATGTTCCCAAAACAAATGCTTGTATGTTCCCAAAACAAATGCTTGTATGTTCCCAAAACAAATGCTTGTATGTTCCCAAAACAAATGCTTGTATGTTCCCAAAACAAATTCTTGTATGTTCCCAAAACAAATGCTTGTATGTTCCCAAAACAAATTCTCGTATGTTCCCAAAACAAATGCTTGTATGTTCCCAAAACAAATGCTTGTATGTTCCCAAAACAAATTCTTGTATGTTCCCAGCACAAATGCTTGTATGTTCTCAGCACAAATGCTTGTATGTTCCCAAAACAAATTCTTGTATGTTCCCAAAACAAATTCTCGTATGTTCCCAACACAAATGCTTGTATGTTCCCAAAACAAATTCTCGTATGTTCCCAAAACAAATGCTTGTATGTTCCCAAAACAAATGCTTGTATGTTCCCAAAACAAATGCTTGTATGTTCCCAAAACAAATGCTTGTATGTTCCCAAAACAAATGCTTGTATGTTCCCAAAACAAATGCTTGTATGTTCCCAAAACAAATGCTTGTATGTTCCCAAAACAAATGCTTGTATGTTCCCAAAACAAATGCTTGTATGTTCCCAGCACAAATGCTTGTATGTTCTCAGCACAAATGCTTGTATGTTCCCAAAACAAATTCTTGTATGTTCCCAAAACAAATTCTCGTATGTTCCCAACACAAATGCTTGTATGTTCCCAAAACAAATTCTCGTATGTTCCCAAAACAAATTCTTGTATGTTCCCAAAACAAATTCTTGTATGTTCCCAAAACAAATGCTTGTATGTTCCCAAAACAAATGCTTGTATGTTCCCAAAACAAATGCTTGTATGTTCCCAAAACAAATGCTTGTATGTTCCCAAAACAAATTCTCGTATGTTCCCAAAACAAATGCTTGTATGTTCCCAAAACAAATGCTTGTATGTTCCCAAAACAAATTCTTGTATGTTCCCAGCACAAATGCTTGTATGTTCTCAGCACAAATGCTTGTATGTTCCCAAAACAAATTCTTGTATGTTCCCAAAACAAATTCTCGTATGTTCCCAACACAAATGCTTGTATGTTCCCAAAACAAATTCTCGTATGTTCCCAAAACAAATTCTTGTATGTTCCCAAAACAAATGCTTGTATGTTCCCAAAACAAATGCTTGTATGTTCCCAAAACAAATGCTTGTATGTTCCCAAAACAAATGCTTGTATGTTCCCAAAACAAATGCTTGTATGTTCCCAAAACAAATGCTTGTATGTTCCCAAAACAAATGCTTGTATGTTCCCAGCACAAATGCTTGTATGTTCTCAGCACAAATGCTTGTATGTTCCCAAAACAAATTCTTGTATGTTCCCAAAACAAATTCTCGTATGTTCCCAACACAAATGCTTGTATGTTCCCAAAACAAATTCTCGTATGTTCCCAAAACAAATTCTTGTATGTTCGCAAAACAAATGCTTGTATGTTCCCAAAACAAATGCTTGTATGTTCCCAAAACAAATGCTTGTATGTTCCCAAAACAAATGCTTGTATGTTCCCAAAACAAATGCTTGTATGTTCCCAAAACAAATGCTTGTATGTTCCCAAAACAAATGCTTGTATGTTCCCAAAACAAATGGTTGTATGTTCCCAAAACAAAAGCTTGTATGTTCCCAAAACAAATGCTTGTATGTTCCCAAAACAAATGGTTGTATGTTCCCAAAACAAAAGCTTGTATGTTCCCAAAACAAATGCTTGTATGTTCCCAGCCCAGACCCTGGTGCTGTCTGAGTCTGAAAGTGAAGACTGTGATGAGGTCAAGGGGAGATCACCCATACATGACAGTCTACTCTCTGATGATAGTGGTCAGTCCTTGTTTTTCTCATTAAAAAAGTTTTTTTTTTGGTCATTTAACCCTTTACAGGTCTGGTTAAAAATATTTGATTTGCCTTAGGCTGGGCAAAAAAAAAACCAATACATTTTTCAGTCTTAATACTTGTTAAAAATTATTTTACAACATCCACATGTTAAAACAAAACAAAAAATACTCTAAGTTTTTTATGAGTTAGATTAAATAGCTAAAAATGTACAAATGATGAATAAAAATAACACTATTACAAGAAAAGGGTAAACAAAATGCAACTGATAAATTTATTTCAATAAATAATTATTTTAATGATAAAAAATACTTTCTCTTTCTCTACCACTGTATTAGTATACGTTACATTATAATATAAATACCACTGTATTAGTATGTTACATTATAATATAAATACCAATGTATTAGTATATGTTACATTATAATATAAATACCACTGTATTAGTATATGTTACATTATAATATAAATACCACTGTATTAGTATACGTTACATTATAATATAAATACCACTGTATAAGTGTACATTACATTATAATATAAATACCACTGTATTAGTATATGTTACATTATAATATAAATACCACTGTATTAGTATATGTTACATTATAATATAAATACCACTTTATTAGTATACGTTACATTATAATACAGCAAGCTGATTGAACAGCAGAGACAAGTTCATTTGTTTTTAATTTCACTAATTATATTGCCAGTAATCTTTCAGTAATTATATTACCAGTAATTTGAAAAAATTCCCAACTTAAAAAAAAGTGTACAGAAAGAATTGCAAGTAAGTCAAAATCATGTTACTTGTGAGAGTTGAATCACAGTTTGCCTCAATAAGGACACTTTGGACTGCTCCAGAGAAAATCCTCTGGTAATAGCAGCGTCATAGAACTGTAAAGGGTTAATTACTAAATGTAATTACAAGCTCTTTTATTTAATGATTAAAGAAATGTCAATGATGTATTTGAAGCTTGATGTATTGTGAATGAGTTGAATTGATTAAAGAAATGTTTTTGATGTATTTGAAGCTTGATGTATTATGAATGAGTTGAATTGATTAAAGAAATGTTTTTGATGTATTTGAAGCTTGATGTATTATGAATGAGTTGAATTGATTAAAGAAATGTTTTTGATGTATTTGAAGCTTGATGTATTGTGAATGAGTTGAATTGATTAAAGAAATGTTTTTGATGTATTTGAAGCTTGATGTATTATGAATGAGTTGAATTGATTAAAGAAATATTTTTGATGTATTTGAAGCTTGATGTATTATGAATGAGTTGAATTGATTAAAGAAATGTTTTTGATGTATTTGAAGCTTGATGTATTGTGAATGAGTTGAATTGATTAAAGAAATGTTTTTGATGTATTTGAAGCTTGATGTATTGTGAATGAGTTGAATTGATTAAAGAAATGTTTTTGATGTATTTGAAGCTTGATGTATTATGAATGAGTTGAATTGATTAAAGAAATGTTTTTGATGTATTTGAAGCTTGATGTATTGTGAATGAGTTGAATTGATTAAAGAAATGTTTTTGATGTATTTGAAGCTTGATGTATTGTGAATGAGTTGAATTGATTAAAGAAATGTTTTTGATGTATTTGAAGCTTGATGTATTGTGAATGAGTTGAATTGATTAAAGAAATGTTTTTGATGTATTTGAAGCTTGATGTATTATGAATGAGTTGAATTGATTAAAGAAATGTTTTTGATGTATTTGAAGCTTGATGTATTGTGAATGAGTTGAATTGATTAAAGAAATGTTTTTGATGTATTTGAAGCTTGATGTATTGTGAATGAGTTGAATTGATTAAAGAAATGTTTTTGATGTATTTGAAGCTTGATGTATTATGAATGAGTTGAATTGATTAAAGAAATGTTTTTGATGTATTTGAAGCTTGATGTATTGTGAATGAGTTGAATTGATTAAAGAAATGTTTTTGATGTATTTGAAGCTTGATGTATTATGAATGAGTTGAATTGATTAAAGAAATATTTTTGATGTATTTGAAGCTTGATGTATTATGAATGAGTTGAATTGATTAAAGAAATATTTTTGATGTATTTGAAGCTTGATGTATTATGAATGAGTTGAATTGAATCCATCAGATGAAGAGAATGACAGAGATGATGGAGCTGTTGGGGCAGCTACGCAGGCTTATAATCCTGAGGACACAGATGGTCAGTACAGGCCACAGCTTGTATACTTGTTGCTCAAAGTTTTCCACAACTTGTCTTGTATACTTGTTGCTCTAAGTTTTCCACAACTTGTCTTGTAAACTTGTTGCTCTAAGTTTTCAACAACTTGTCTTGTAAACTTGTTGCTCTAAGTTTTCCACAACTTGTCTTTTATATTTGTTGTTCTAAGTTTTCCACAACTTGTCTTGTCAACTTGTTGCTCTAAGTTTTCCACAACTTATCTTTTATACTTGTTTCTCTAAGTTTTCCACAACTTGTCTTGTAAACTTGTTGCTCTAAGTTTTCAACAACTTGTCTTGTAAACTTGTTGCTCTAAGTTTTCCACAACTTGTCTTGTAAACTTGTTGCTCTAAGTTTTCCACAACTTGTCTTTTATATTTGTTGTTCTAAGTTTTCCACAACTTGTCTTGTCAACTTGTTGCTCTGTTTTCCACAACTTGTCTTGTAAACTTGTTGTTCATGAATTTGTAGACGACCTGTTTAGGGTGGAGCTACTCGGGTCAGCCACACAGTGCTATATTGGTGTACACCAGGGGAACGACGCAAATGAAGTGACAGTCAACAACAACAGCACAGTCAACAACAACAGCACAGTCAACAACAACACAGAAGGTGACACACTTCACACTGCCCAGGTCAGCTACACACAACATTGTAAACATCTGCTTGGATTTTATTTTAACAGCTGCTGGCACTCTCCAGGATAGAAGTTTAGATTTCTAGTTGATGAGTATTTGAAATTGACAAGCATTGATGAATGATTTAAAACTTGTTTTAGATGCAGGAGGCAACCAAGCCTGGCAAACATAGTCCAGCTGTCAAGGTCACACAAGGTGCAGCCCCCAAATACATTTTTACATTTTTATATATCTGTTAGATGTAAGTTATATCTGTACATGTATCTGTGAGGTGTAAATATCTGTACATATATCTGGTAGATAGTGGAGTTGATGGGGACAGTCCAACCGAGCGGGGTCGAGAGGATCTGGCACCTAACAGGGAGTTTTTTTCTACGTCAACATTGGGCTGTCAACATGACAAGCTAGATCACACAGGTAGGTCAGTCTTAGAACATTACAGGTAGATCAGTCTTAGAACATTACAGGTAGGTCAGTTTTAGAACATTACAGGTAGGTCAATCTTAGAACATTACAGGTAGGTCAGTCTTAGAACATTACAGGTAGATCAGTCTTAGAACATTACAGGTAGGTCAGTCTTAAAACATTACAGGTAGATCAATCTTAAAACATTACAGGTAGATCAATCTTAGAACATTACAGGTAGGTCAGTCTTAGAACATTACAGGTAGGTCAGTCTTAGAACATTACAGGTAGGTCAGTCTTAGAACATTACAGGTAGGTCAATCTTAGAACATTACAGGTAGGTCAATCTTAGAACATTACAGGTAGGTCAGTCTTAGAACATTACAGGTAGGTCAGTCTTAGAACATTACAGGTAGATCAATCTTAGAACATTACAGGTAGATCAATCTTAGAACATTACAGGTAGATCAATCTTAGAACATTACTGGTAGATCAATCTTAGAACATTACAGGTAGATCAATCTTAGAACATTACAGGTAGATCAGTCTTAGAACATTACAGGTAGATCAATTCTTTATTTTCTCAGATGCTAGTGCTACACTTGTCATGTCAGATGTCAGGGCTGAGCCTACACTTGTCATGTCAGATGTCAGTGATTCACCTGACAAGACTTGTGACAAGAGATCTGCCTCTCCAAGTCAAACAATGGCCAGCCGGGAGAGAAAACTTGGCCCAGATAAACTGTGTCAACCTGCTGAGACAGCATTATGTCAACCTACCCAGGTTTTTGAGGACGGAGGTCAAGGGTCATCCAACAAACCTCGCCCCCAGAAGGAATTATGTGACCTCCCTACCCAGGTTTTTGAGGACGGAGGTCAGCCTCAAGGCATGTCAGCTGACCACACCATAAGTCTGCTTGAAGGACAGTCACATGAAGTCAACACACAAGAAACAACACAAGCCTACAGAATGGCTTCAGATGAGCCAACACAAGCCTACAGAATGGCTTCAGATGAGCCAACACAAGCCTACAGAATGGCTTCAGATGAGCCAACACAAGCCTACAGAATGGCTTCAGATGAGCTCTATGAGCAAGAGACTCAGGTGTTTGAGGAGACAAGTCAGTACCTGGACACGTGTGATCAGAGGAATTCAGCGAAGGGTGAGGCCACGCAGGCCTATGATGATAAGGGTCATACAGGGGAAGGTGAGGCCACGCAGGCCTATGATGATGAGGGTCATACAGGGGAAGGTGAAGCCACGCAGGCCTTTGATGATAAGGGTCATACAGGGGAAGGTGAGGCCACGCAGGCCTATGATGATGAGGGTCATACAGGGGAAGGTGAGGCCATGCAGGCCTATGATGATGAGGGTCATACAGGGGAAGGTGAAGCCACGCAGGCCTATGATGATGAGGGTCATACAGGGGAAGGTGAAGCCACGCAGGCCTTTGATGATAAGGGTCATACAGGGGAAGGTGAAGCCACGCAGGCCTTTGATGATAAGGGTCATACAGGGGAAGGTGAGGCCACGCAGGCCTATGATGATGAGGGTCATACAGGGGAAGGTGAAGCCACGCAGGCCTTTGATGATAAGGGTCATACAGGGGAAGGTGAGGCCACGCAGGCCTATGATGATGAGAGCTGTACCAATGCTGGTAACCCCACACAAAACAATCAGCTGGCTGATGAGCCAGGGAAGTGTACCCAGCCTTATGATGGTGAGCGCCATGTCAATGCTGATAAGGACAACAAACCAGCTGAACTTTTAAAGAGGTACGTCTTCTCTGCTGTATTAGTTGATCCCACCTGTAACCTGTAGGCTTGATCCCACCTGTAGGTTTGATCATACCTGTAGGTTTGATCCCATCTGTAGGTTTGATCCCACCTGTAACCTGGAGGTTTGATCCCACCTGTAGGTTTGATCCCACCTGTAGGTTTGATCCCACCTGTAGGTTTGATCCCACCTGTAGGTTTGATCCCACCTGTAGGTTTGATCCCACCTGTAGGTTTGATCCCACCTGTAACCTGGAGGTTTGATCCCACCTGTAGGTTTGATCCAACCTGTAGGTTTGATCCCACCTGTAGGTTTGATCCCACCTGTAGGTTTGATCCCACCTGTAACCTGGAGGTTTGATCCCACCTGTAGGTTTGATCCCACCTGTAGGTTTGATCCCACCTGTAGGTTTGATCCCACCTGTAGGTTTGATCCCACCTGTAGGTTTGATCCCACCTGTAGGTTTGATCCCACCTGTAGGTTTGATCCCACCTGTAGGTTTGATCCCACCTGTAGGTTTGATCCCACCTGTAACCTGGAGGTTTGATCCCACCTGTAACCTGGAGGTTTGATCCCACCTGTAGGTTTGATCCCACCTGTAGGTTTGATCCCACCTGTAGGTTTGATCCCACCTGTAGGTTTGATCCCACCTGGAGGTTTGATCCCACCTGTAGGTTTGATCCCACCTGTAGGTTTGATCCCACCAGTAGGTTTGATCCCACCTGTAACCTGGAGGTTTGATCCCACCTGTAACCTGGAGGTTTGATCCCACCTGTAACCTGTAGGTTTGATCCCACCTGTAGGTTTGATCCCACCTGTAGGTTTGATCCCACCTGTAACCTGTAGGTTTGATCCCACCTGTAACCTGGAGGTTTGATCCCACCTGTAACCTGGAGGTTTGATCCCACCTGTAACCTGGAGGTTTGATCCCACCTGTAGGTTTGAACCCACCTGTAGGTTTGATCCCACCTGTAGGTTTGATCCCACCTGTAGGTTTGATCCCACCTGTAGGTTTGATCCCACCTGTAGGTTTGATCCCACCTGTAGGTTTGATCCCACCAGTAGGTTTGATCCCACCTGTAGGTTTGATCCCACCTGTAGGTTTGATCCCACCAGTAGGTTTGATCCCACCTGTAACCTGGAGGTTTGATCCCACCTGTAACCTGGAGGTTTGATCCCACCTGTAACCTGTAGGTTTGATCCCACCTGTAGGTTTGATCCCACCTGTAGGTTTGATCCCACCTGTAACCTGTAGGTTTGATCCCACCTGTAACCTGGAGGTTTGATCCCACCTGTAACCTGTAGGTTTGATCCCACCTGTAACCTGGAGGTTTGATCCCACCTGTAGGTTTGAACCCACCTGTAGGTTTGATCCCACCTGTAGGTTTGATCCCACCTGTAGGTTTGATCCCACCTGTAACCTGGAGGTTTGATCCCACCTGTAGGTTTGATCCCACCTGTAGGTTTGATCCCACCTGTAGGTTTGATCCCACCTGTAGGTTTGATCCCACCTGTAGGTTTGATCCCACCTGTAGGTTTGATCCCACCTGTAACCTGGAGGTTTGATCCCACCTGTAGGTTTGATCCAACCTGTAGGTTTGATCCCACCTGTAGGTTTGATCCCACCTGTAGGTTTGATCCCACCTGTAACCTGTAGGTTTGATCCCACCTGTAGGTTTGATCCCACCTGTAGGTTTGATCCCACCTGTAGGTTTGATCCCACCTGTAGGTTTGATCCCACCTGTAGGTTTGATCCCACCTGTAGGTTTGATCCCACCTGTAGGTTTGATCCCACCTGTAGGTTTGATCCCACCTGTAACCTGGAGGTTTGATCCCACCTGTAACCTGGAGGTTTGATCCCACCTGTAACCTGGAGGTTTGATCCCACCTGTAGGTTTGATCCCACCTGTAGGTTTGATCCCACCTGTAGGTTTGATCCCACCTGTAGGTTTGATCCCACCTGGAGGTTTGATCCCACCTGTAGGTTTGATCCCACCTGTAGGTTTGATCCCACCAGTAGGTTTGATCCCACCTGTAACCTGGAGGTTTGATCCCACCTGTAACCTGGAGGTTTGATCCCACCTGTAACCTGTAGGTTTGATCCCACCTGTAGGTTTGATCCCACCTGTAGGTTTGATCCCACCTGTAACCTGTAGGTTTGATCCCACCTGTAACCTGGAGGTTTGATCCCACCTGTAACCTGGAGGTTTGATCCCACCTGTAACCTGGAGGTTTGATCCCACCTGTAGGTTTGAACCCACCTGTAGGTTTGATCCCACCTGTAGGTTTGATCCCACCTGTAGGTTTGATCCCACCTGTAGGTTTGATCCCACCTGTAGGTTTGATCCCACCTGTAGGTTTGATCCCACCAGTAGGTTTGATCCCACCTGTAGGTTTGATCCCACCTGTAGGTTTGATCCCACCAGTAGGTTTGATCCCACCTGTAACCTGGAGGTTTGATCCCACCTGTAACCTGGAGGTTTGATCCCACCTGTAACCTGTAGGTTTGATCCCACCTGTAGGTTTGATCCCACCTGTAGGTTTGATCCCACCTGTAACCTGTAGGTTTGATCCCACCTGTAACCTGGAGGTTTGATCCCACCTGTAACCTGTAGGTTTGATCCCACCTGTAACCTGGAGGTTTGATCCCACCTGTAGGTTTGAACCCACCTGTAGGTTTGATCCCACCTGTAGGTTTGATCCCACCTGTAGGTTTGATCCCACCTGTAGGTTTGATCCCACCTGTAGGTTTGATCCCACCTGTAGGTTTGATCCCACCAGTAGGTTTGATCCCACCTGTAACCTGGAGGTTTGATCCCACCTGTAACCTGGAGGTTTGATCCCACCTGTAACCTGTAGGTTTGATCCCACCTGTAGGTTTGATCCCACCTGTAGGTTTGATCCCACCTGTAGGTTTGATCCCACCTGTAACCTGTAGGTTTGATCCCACCTGTAACCTGGAGGTTTGATCCCACCTGTAACCTGTAGGTTTGATCCCACCTGTAACCTGGAGGTTTGATCCCACCTGTAGGTTTGATCCCACCTGTAGGTTTGATCCCACCTGTAGGTTTGATCCCACCTGTAGGTTTGATCCCACCTGTAGGTTTGATCCCACCTGTAGGTTTGATCCCACCAGTAGGTTTGATCCCACCTGTAGGTTTGATCCCACCTGTAGGTTTGATCCCACCTGTAACCTGGAGGTTTGATCCCACCTGTAACCTGGAGGTTTGATCCCACCTGTAGGTTTGATCCCACCTGTAGGTTTGATCCCACCTGTAGGTTTGATCCCACCTGGAGGTTTGATCCCACCTGTAGGTTTGATCCCACCTGTAGGTTTGATCCCACCAGTAGGTTTGATCCCACCTGTAACCTGGAGGTTTGATCCCACCTGTAACCTGGAGGTTTGATCCCACCTGTAACCTGGAGGTTTGATCCCACCTGTAACCTGTAGGTTTGATCCCACCTGTAACCTGGAGGTTTGATCCCACCTGTAGGTTTGAACCCACCTGTAGGTTTGATCCCACCTGTAGGTTTGATCCCACCTGTAGGTTTGATCCCACCTGTAGGTTTGATCCCACCTGTAGGTTTGATCCCACCTGTAGGTTTGATCCCACCAGTAGGTTTGATCCCACCTGTAGGTTTGATCCCACCTGTAGGTTTGATCCCACCAGTAGGTTTGATCCCACCTGTAACCTGGAGGTTTGATCCCACCTGTAACCTGGAGGTTTGATCCCACCTGTAACCTGTAGGTTTGATCCCACCTGTAGGTTTGATCCCACCTGTAGGTTTGATCCCACCTGTAACCTGTAGGTTTGATCCCACCTGTAACCTGGAGGTTTGATCCCACCTGTAACCTGTAGGTTTGATCCCACCTGTAACCTGGAGGTTTGATCCCACCTGTAACCTGGAGGTTTGATCCCACCTGTAACCTGGAGGTTTGATCCCACCTGTAGGTTTGATCCCACCTGTAGGTTTGATCCCACCTGTAGGTTTGATCCCACCTGTAGGTTTGATCCCACCTGGAGGTTTGATCCCACCTGTAGGTTTGATCCCACCTGTAGGTTTGATCCCACCAGTAGGTTTGATCCCACCTGTAACCTGGAGGTTTGATCCCACCTGTAACCTGGAGGTTTGATCCCACCTGTAGGTTTGAACCCACCTGTAGGTTTGATCCCACCTGTAGGTTTGATCCCACCTGTAGGTTTGATCCCACCTGTAGGTTTGATCCCACCTGTAGGTTTGATCCCACCTGTAGGTTTGATCCCACCAGTAGGTTTGATCCCACCTGTAACCTGGAGGTTTGATCCCACCTGTAACCTGGAGGTTTGATCCCACCTGTAACCTGTAGGTTTGATCCCACCTGTAGGTTTGATCCCACCTGTAGGTTTGATCCCACCTGTAGGTTTGATCCCACCTGTAACCTGTAGGTTTGATCCCACCTGTAACCTGGAGGTTTGATCCCACCTGTAACCTGTAGGTTTGATCCCACCTGTAACCTGGAGGTTTGATCCCACCTGTAGGTTTGATCCCACCTGTAGGTTTGATCCCACCTGTAGGTTTGATCCCACCTGTAGGTTTGATCCCACCTGTAGGTTTGATCCCACCAGTAGGTTTGATCCCACCTGTAACCTGGAGGTTTGATCCCACCTGTAACCTGTAGGTTTGATCCCACCTGTTTCTGTTTAGACCTGGTATATAATTGTTCTGTTTAGACCTGGTATATAATTGTTCTGTTTAGACCTGGTATATTATTGTTGTTTAGACCTGGTATATAATTGTTCTGTTTAGACCTGGTATATTATTGTTCTGTTTAGACCTGGTATATTATTGTTCTGTTTAGACCTGGTATATTATTGTTCTGTTTAGACCTGGTATATTATTGTTCTGTTTAGACCTGGTATATTATTGTTCTGTTTAGACCTGGTATATAATTGTTCTGTTTAGACCTGACCAACAAGGGGAGAACTCTGATGATGATTCTGATTTGGAAGTCAGTTCTGTTCTAAAAGTCAACGTGGATGTGGAGCTGGTAAGTCTTGACATTCTCAGACTGTGAGTCTTGACATTCTCAGATTGTGAGTCTTGACATTCTCAGATTGTGAGTCTTGACATTCTCAGATTGTGAGTCTTGACATTCTCAGATTGTGAGTCTTGACATTCTCAGATTGTGAGTCTTGACATTCTCAGATTGTGAGTCTTGACATTCTCAGATTGTGAGTCTTGACATTATCACATGAATAGCATGCCATTTGTTTGACCTCTATAAATTGATTTTTTTTCTTTTTACTTTTCTTTAAATTGGATGATTCTCACTGTTTTTTAGCCTCAGTTGTTTGATGAAGGAAACCTGTCATTAAATGTCAAGGTCAGCCCAGCCGCCCCCACAGACCAACCAGGTTAGTGATCCACCGTTCTTGTGGTCCATTGACTCAGGTTATCTCCCCTGACTTGCCCTTGGACTGAATTGTCTCCCTTGACTTGCCCTTTTACTGTATTGTCTCCCATGACATGTCCTTTGATTGAAGTCATCACCCCATATTTGCCCTTAATGAGTATATTTTTGTCCCCAGTTGCAGCAGAAGAGCCTAGATTACCTGAAGAGGTAGGTCCCTAAAATTGTCCAACTACAAGCAATCAGTCATTGGCCACCATCACTTGTATGTGTGGGACACGCTAGTTGAGCATGTGACTGCTAGTTGAGAATGTGACTGCTAGTTGAGCATGTGACTGCTAGTTGAGCATGTGACTGCTAGTTGAGCATGTGACTGCTAGTTGAGCATGTGACTGCTAGTTGAGCATGTGACTGCTAGTTGAGCATGTGACTGCTAGTTGAGCATGTGACTGCTAGTTGAGCATGTGACTGCTAGTTGAGCATGTGACTGCTAGTTGAGCATGTGACTGCTAGTTGAGCATGTGACTGCTAGTTGAGCATGTGACTGCTAGTTGAGCATGTGACTGCTAGTTGAGAATGTGACTGCTAGTTGAGAATGTGACTGCTAGTTGAGCATGTGACTGCTAGTTGAGCATGTGACTGATGGGTACCTGACTCTAGTCCACCCAGCTCTGATGGGTACCTGAGTCCACCCAGCTCTGATGGGTGCCTGTGAGGGTAGGGAGGGATTTTTACAAAGGCGAAACGAATCCAATAACACAAGTTCAAGTTCAAATATAAAATGTTCTTTATTGAAATTATAAAATCAAGTTCTACCTAACTAACTAGTCTATTCTATACTCTCTACTACTACTACTGTACATATCTCGACCGTCTCTGACCGCTTCCTAACACCTTCTCTACTCTTCGCTAGCTACCTATCAACTGCCGGCCTATCTCTCTACTGACCCACGCCTCAGTGGTCAGCTGACCGTCCCACGTGACCGGTCAGTTCAAGTATTTTTATTGGTCTTTCTCTGACCAACTCGCTATAGCCTGTTTCTGCCATCTACCTGACCTCTCCGATGCAACCTTGTGTCATCACAGTACCTGACTCTAGTCCACTGATATCTATTTTAGTTAGTCCCAGACAGCATGCCCAACAGCAGGGGAGATTCACCACCACTGATATCTATTTTCTCAAAGAACCAAGCTTCAACTCTGAAGTCTTCTCCTTCACCCAAGCATGTTAGTTTTGTAAGTAAACAATTTCTTTAGCCCCAGACCTCCACCAAAGTTAGCTGTACAATCCCTCAAAGATTTGGATGCCAGAGTTTACTAATGTTAGCTGTACAATGCCTCAAAGATTTGGATGCCAGAGTTTACTAATGTTAGCTGTACAATGTCTCAAAGATTTGAATGCCAGAGTTTACTAATGTTAGCTGTACAATGCCTCAAAGATTTGGATGCCAGAGTTTACTAATGTTAGCTGTAAGATTTGGATGCCAGAGTTTACTAATGTTAGCTGTACAATCCCTCAAAGATTTGGATGCCAGAGTTTACTAATGTTAGCTGTACAATGCCTCAAAGATTTGGATGCTAGAGTTTACTAATGTTAGCTGTACAATGCCTCAAAGATTTGGATGCCAGAGTTTACTAATGTTAGCTGTACAATCCCTAAAAGATTTGGATGCTAGAGTTTACTAATGTTAGCTGTACAATGCCTCAAAGATTTGGATGCCAGAGTTTACTAATGTTAGCTGTACAATGTCTCAAAGATTTGAATGCCAGAGTTTACTAATGTTAGCTGTACAATGCCTCAAAGATTTGGATGCCAGAGTTTACTAATGTTAGCTGTAAGATTTGGATGCCAGAGTTTACTAATGTTAGCTGTACAATCCCTCAAAGATTTGGATGCCAGAGTTTACTAATGTTAGCTGTACAATGCCTCAAAGATTTGGATGCCAGAGTTTACTAATGTTAGCTGTACAATCCCTCAAAGATTTGGATGCCAGAGTTTACTAATGTTAGCTGTACAATCCCTCAAAGATTTGGATGCCAGAGTTTACTAATGTTAGCTGTACAATGCCTCAAAGATTTGGATGCCAGAGTTTACTAATGTTAGCTGTACAATGCCTCAAAGATTTGGATGCCAGAGTTTACTAATGTTAGCTGTACAGTGCCACAAAGATTTGGATGCCAGAGTTTACTAATGTTAGCTGTACAATGCCTCAAAGATTTGGATGCTAGAGTTTACTAATGTTAGCTGTACAATGCCTCAAAGATTTGGATGCCAGAGTTTACTAATGTTAGCTGTACAATCCCTCAAAGATTTGGGTGCCAGAGTTTACTAATGTTAGCTGTACAATGCCTCAAAGATTTGGGTGCCAGAGTTTACTAATGTTAGCTGTAAGGTTTGGATGCCAGAGTTTACTAATGTTAGCTGTACAATCCCTCAAAGATTTGAATGCCAGAGTTTACTAATGTTAGCTGTACAATGCCTCAAAGATTTGGATGCCAGAGTTTACTAATGTTAGCTGTAAGGTTTGGATGCCAGAGTTTACTAATGTTAGCTGTACAATCCCTCAAAGATTTGAATGCCAGAGTTTACTAATGTTAGCTGTACAATGCCTCAAAGATTTGAATGCCAGAGTTTACTAATGTTAGCTGTACAATGCCTCAAAGATTTGGATGCCAGAGTTTACTAATGTTAGCTGTACAATGCCTCAAAGATTTGGGTGCCAGAGTTTACTAATGTTAGCTGTAAGATTTGGATGCCATAGTTTACTAATGTTAGCTGTACAATCCCTCAAAGATTTGAATGCCAGAGTTTACTAATGTTAGCTGTACAATGCCTCAAAGATTTGGATGCCAGAGTTTACTAATGTTAGCTGTACCATGCCTTAAGATTTGGATGCCAGAGTTTACTAATGTTAGGTGTACAATGCCTCAAAGATTTGGATGCCAGAGTTTACTAATGTTAGCTGTACAGTGCCACAAAGATTTGGATGCCAGAGTTTACTAATGTTAGGTGTACAATGCCTCAAAGATTTGGGTGCCAGAGTTTACTAATGTTAGCTGTACAATGCCACAAAGATTTGGGTGCCAGAGTTTACTAATGTTAGCTGTAAGATTTGGATGCCAGAGTTTACTAATGTTAGCTGTACAATCCCTCAAAGATTTGGATGCCAGAGTTTACTAATGTTAGCTGTACAGTGCCTCAAAGATTTGGATGCCAGAGTTTACTAATGTTAGCTGTACAATCCCTCAAAGATTTGGATGCCAGAGTTTACTAATGTTAGCTGTACAATCCCTCAAAGATTTGGGTGCTAGAGTTTACTAATGTTAGCTGTACAGTGCCACAAAGATTTGGATGCCAGAGTTTACTAATGTTAGCTGTACAATCCCTCAAAGATTTGGGTGCTAGAGTTTACTAATGTTAGCTGTACAGTGCCACAAAGATTTGGATGCCAGAGTTTACTAATGTTAGCTGTACAATCCCTCAAAGATTTGGGTGCTAGAGTTTACTAATGTTAGCTGTACAATCCCTCAAAGATTTGGGTGCTAGAGTTTACTAATGTTAGCTGTACAGTGCCACAAAGATTTGGATGCCAGAGTTTACTAATGTTAGCTGTACAATCCCTTAAAGATTTGGGTGCTAGAGTTTACTAATGTTAGCTGTACAGTGCCACAAAGATTTGGATGCCAGAGTTTACTAATGTTAGCTGTACAATCCCTCAAAGATTTGGGTGCTAGAGTTTACTAATGTTAGCTGTACAATCCCTCAAAGATTTGGGTGCTAGAGTTTACTAATGTTAGCTGTACAGTGCCACAAAGATTTGGATGCCAGAGTTTACTAATGTTAGCTGTAAGATTTGGATGCCAGAGTTTACTAATGTTAGCTGTACAATCCCTCAAAGATTTGGATGCTAGAGTTTACTAATGTTAGCTGTACAATCCCTCAAAGATTTGGATGCCAGAGTTTACTAATGTTAGCTGTACAATCCCTTAAAGATTTGGGTGCTAGAGTTTACTAATGTTAGCTGTACAGTGCCACAAAGATTTGGATGCCAGAGTTTACTAATGTTAGCTGTAAGATTTGGATGCCAGAGTTTACTAATGTTAGCTGTAAGATTTGGATGCCAGAGTTTACTAATGTTAGCTGTAAGATTTGGATGCCAGAGTTTACTAATGTTAGCTGTAAGATTTGGATGCCAGAGTTTACTAATGTTAGCTGTAAGATTTGGATGCCAGAGTTTACTAATGTTAGCTGTACAATCCCTCAAAGATTTGGGTGCTAGAGTTTACTAATGTTAGCTGTACAATCCCTCAAAGATTTGGATGCCAGAGTTTACTAATGTTAGCTGTACAATCCCTCAAAGATTTGGGTGCTAGAGTTTACTAATGTTAGCTGTACAGTGCCACAAAGATTTGGATGCCAGAGTTTACTAATGTTAGCTGTAAGATTTGGATGCCAGAGTTTACTAATGTTAGCTGTAAGATTTGGATGCCAGAGTTTACTAATGTTAGCTGTAAGATTTGGATGCCAGAGTTTACTAATGTTAGCTGTAAGATTTGGATGCCAGAGTTTACTAATGTTAGCTGTAAGATTTGGATGCCAGAATTTACTAATGTTAGCTGTACAGTGCCACAAAGATTTGGATGCCAGAGTTTACTAATGTTAGCTGTAAGATTTGGTTGCCAGAGTTTACTAATGTTAGCTGTAAGATTTGGACGCCAGAGTTTACTAATGTTAGCTGTAAGATTTGGACGCCAGAGTTTACTAATGTTAGCTGTAAGATTTGGACGCCAGAGTTTACTAATGTTAGCTGTAAGATTTGGACGCCAGAGTTTACTAATGTTAGCTGTAAGATTTGGATGCCAGAGTTTACTAATGTTAGCTGTAAGATTTGGGTGCCAGAGTTTACTAATGTTAGCTGTAAGATTTGGATGCCAGAGTTTACTAATGTTAGCTGTAAGATTTGGACGCCAGAGTTTACTAATGTTAGCTGTAAGATTTGGACGCCAGAGTTTACTAATGTTAGCTGTAAGATTTGGACGCCAGAGTTTACTAATGTTAGCTGTAAGATTTGGACGCCAGAGTTTACTAATGTTAGCTGTAAGATTTGGACGCCAGAGTTTACTAATGTTAGCTGTAAGATTTGGATGCCAGAGTTTACTAATGTTAGCTGTAAGATTTGGATGCCAGATTTTACTAATGTTAGCTGTAAGATTTGGATGCCAGAGTTTACTAATGTTAGCTGTAAGATTTGGATGCCAGAGTTTACTAATGTTAGCTGTACAATGCCTCAAAGATTTGAATGCCAGAGTTTACTAATGTTAGCTGTACAATCCCTCAAAGATTTGGATGCCAGAGTTTACTAATGTTAGCTGTACAATGCCTCAAAGATTTGGATGCCAGAGTTTAATTATGTTAGCTGTACAGTGCCTCAAAGATTTGGATGCCAGAGTTTACTAATGTTGTTCCTTTTGCTCCAATGTTTGTAGTCTGAGGACAGTGACAAGATGGCAAGCAGGAGGTCTGCAAGACAAGCTGCCACCCCACGTAATGTTTTCTTACAATCATATTTAACTTTTTCCTAGCCACTCCACGTAATGTTTTCTTACAATCATAGTTAGCTTTTTCCTAGCCACTCCACGTAATGTTTTCTTACAAGCATATTTAACTTTTTCCTAGCCACTCCACGTAATTTTTTTCTTACAATCATATTTAACTTTTTCCTAGCCACTCCACGTAATGTTTTCTTACAATCATATTTAACTTTTTCCTAGCCACTCCACGTAATGTTTTCTTACAATCATTTTTAACTTAGTCCTAGCCACTTGCATTTAACCCTTAGCAGCCCTGTTTTTTTAAAATTCAAACTTTTAACATTCCTAACTTAGCCTCTCGCATAACCTACTTTTTAAAACCATCGTCATGGTAATGATGGCTGCCAAAAATGGCGATACTGTGATTCCATTTTTTAACAATGTTTCATCGTCAATTCAGAAGTATATACTTAAAATCATATTTTTGCATATTTTTCAACAATAGTGATTTAACAATGGATGATTATTTTTTTATGCAAATTTGCAGTTTATACATTTTTACTTTCTCGTATACAGAGTATAGAGAAAGTATTGTAATCGTGCAATCTTGCCTGTGTGTGTGTGTTTGTATGTGTGTTCATGCATATGTGTGTCTGTGAACACGATAATGTGAGTACCGTTACAGCTAGGTTTGATGAAATTTCATATATAAGTATTATATCAAATTTGTAGATCCATATAAACTTTTGAGTGATTTCCGATAACCGGAAGTGGAACTTTCTACTTTAAATTTTTCAAAAGCCTATAACTTGAGTACTATTTCAGTTAGATAAATGAAATTTCACATGTAAGTAAAAGATCTAATTCTCTGCCTTACATGTCTGTGGAGTAATTTCCGTTGAAGTACTAATTTACGCTATTTCAGATTTCTTAAAAAACTGCATGTGAATTTATTAAGTACTAATAATATTCCGCACTATTATATACAGATTTTTAGCATTCACTTGGTGCGCAATTCTTTTTTTTTACGAGATTCTATTCTATTTTAAAAAGTTTAAGTAATTAAAAATTAATCAAAACACATATCTATATCTCGAGGTGCAATCCCCCCGTAGTGTTATATAAGAATATTTTAGAAAGTTTAGGGGAGATCACTCCCAGTTTATTTTGTTTAATTGCTGAGAATATTGAGCAGAACATAAAGTAAGCAAAGCTTTAAATTACTGTTATAAAAATACTAAAAAATACTGTGAACTATTGAAAATGATACATCAATTCCTACTAAACTAATTTCATTAATCTTAAAAAATTATGCAAGGTAAAAAAAACCTTAAAATAACTTGATCAGGATAACAGCTAACTAAGCCCGCCCATTACCAACAGTCCAATCCAATCACGTCATAACAAAACTAACCCACCCTATCAGTCATAGCATTGTAGCCATTTAAAAAAAAACACATTTTTTTTTCACAAATCATTTTCTAGGCTACCAATAATTCAAATTGGTATCAAATGAAAGGCAAATAAAGGTAGTTTTTAATTCTTTAAGCTATCTTGAACAATAATGAAGTTTAAAATCTGGCAACATTTTTTTTTATTTTCCATCAACCAACAATTTCTATACTGAAAACTTCTCACAGCTCTTTTGTCTATTCAGTTTTAACAAGTTAAATTGAAAAATGACCTAACATTTTAGAATTGATAAATATTGTATTTTATAGACGTCAATTTAAATGTATGTATATGACAACCTTAAGAATATAGCAGGATGGTGTTGTGTGTATAAAAATGACACCCTTAAGAATATAGCAGGATGGTGTTGTGTGTATAAAAATGACACCCTTAAGAATATAGCAGGATGATGTTGTGTGTATAAAAATGGTGATGAAGAACAGATAGTCACTTGATGGTAGCCTTCCACAAACATTTCTGCCCACCACTCCCCCTTTCCCCTTATTTTTACTAGATTCTAGATGTTTCTTAATCATTTTTTTTTTTCTACAGGAATCATTTCAAGACCACAAAGACAAAAAAAAATAAAAAAAAGCCAAATGAATGTGCACCCAGAATCTGTTGAGAAAGGTTCTAGACCCTGTACAAGGGCTGCCAATGTTTGTGATGGCCAGCCACTGGACACGGCCACCCCTGCCAATGTTTGTGATGGCCAGCCACTGGACACGGCCACCCCTGCCAATGTTTGTGATGGCCAGCCACTGGACACGGCCACCCCTGCACCAGAATGTCAAGCTGCACCAGCTCGTGACACGCCTGCTCAGACTGTTGGCAGCAGACATCAAGGGAGAGCAAGAGGAAGCCGCAATGGTCAGACACCTGCCAGAGGTCAGACACCTGCCAGAGGTCAGACACCTGACAGAGGTCAGACACCTGCCAGAGGTCAGACACCTGACAGAGGTCAGACACCTGACAGAGGTCAGACACCTGCCAGAGGTCAGACACCTGCCAGAGGTCAGACACCTGACAGAGGTCAGACACCTGACAGAGGTCAGACACCTGACAGAGGTCAGACACCTGACAGAGGTCAGACACCTGCCAGAGGTCAGACACCTGCCAGAGGTCAGACACCTGCCAGAGGTCAGACACCTGCCAGAGGTCACACACCTGACAGAGGTCAGACACCTGACAGAGGTCAGACACCTGCCAAGATGGGAGTTGAGGCCAGGACTGAGAAGACACGCAACACGGAGGTGCTGGACCCAGTCGGGCTTGCGTCCACTCACCCCAGGACTGGGTCACTGGGTCAGGGAGATGTCACTGGGTCAGAGGTCAAGGATTGCTCAGTGAATGAGAGGAGTTCACGTGGTAGAAGAATCACCAGAACTAGTTTGTACAAAGACTTTGAAACAGGCAGCAAGAAGGGGGCAGCTGCTAGATCTAAACCTGACAACAGACTTCATGTCACTGACACAAGACATGAAGGCATGACATCTGGCACAGCTCACCACACAGATGGCATAACTCACCAGATTGATAACACAAATGACAAGACAGCTAACACAAACAAGACAGATGACACAAATGACAAGACAGATGACACAAATGTCAAGACAGATAATACAGTTGGCAAGAACGATGCTGTTTATAGAAAACGCAATAAAAAGCAAAAGAAAATGGCATCAGTGGAACCTGTTGCTGATGTTGGTGGTGTGGAACCACTTGCTGATGTTGGTGGTGTGGAACCAGTAGCTGATGTTGGGAGGACAAGGAGTCAAGCTAGTGAGAGAGCTGCTGCTAGTCCAGTGGGTAAACAAAAGTTATCAGCCAAAGCAGGAAGGTTATCAAGGGCCGACTCAAGGGTTGCTGATGCTGGGCAAACCAAGAGGTGTAAGCTTTCACACCCAACAAACCACTCACAAAACACTGGACCGGCTGACACACAGACCTCACACAAGCCTAGACGAGGCCGCCCAAAAAAAGCCAACCCCCCAACCAACTCCCCAGTCAACCCCCCAACCAACCCCCCAACCAACTCCCCAACCAACTCCCCAACCAACCCCCCAATCAACTCCCCAGTCAACCCCCCAATCAACCCCCCAACCAAGCCAGCAATTGTGGAAACAACTAGACAAAAAAGAAAAGCAAGCAAAGAAAAGCCACAGGTAAGTCGATCTTGATGTAAGCCTTAATTGATTGCTTCAGCAGCAGAAAGTTACCTTTTTAAAAAAACATCCTTTGACCTTCAAAAATAAGCCTCCTTGACCCTTTTATCATTGGTACTGTTATTTCAGCTTTTTACAACCTAACAATTTTTGTCTATTGGTAAAGATGAAAATTATACGTTGGTTCTGATAGGAATTGTGTACGTTGGTTCTGATAGGAATTGTGTACGTTGGTTCTGATAGGACTTGTGTACGTTGATTAAGCTATTTAAAATACTGTTGATTGGTTGAGCTATGTACTATTTGTTTGACATTGTTAACTAGTTGCATGTCAGTTGAATCTACCCCCATTTTGATTGGTTGAGCTATGTACTATTTGTTTGACATTGTTAACTAGTTGCATGTCAGTTGAATCTACCCCTGTTTGCTCTGATTCAGGGGCCCAAAATCTGACCAAAAAATGTATTTCAAAATAATTTTTTGTTTAATTTTTAAATATGGGTTTTTAATATAGCACTTTTGAAGTAGGGACGTATGTTTTAAAGCTGAACAGCCAGCTCAATTTTGAACACCATGAGTCCATATTACAATGCCAATCTGTAAAAATATATGCCAGGGAGGTCTAGGGAGAGATCATGAAAATTAAGTTGAGTTGAAATTTAATTAACACTATTTTTAACCCGCCAATGTTATTGTTGCAATTGCTTTGTACACAGCTAACTAAAATAATTGCTTCTCCTAATGACATTTTCAAGGTTTTCTAAAGAATGATATAGATATAAATTGAATTTTTTCAAAGTTAAGATTATAAATTTTAAAAAATCATGGATGAAATGAACACTGAATATCTTCCCTATTTTGTATATTTTATATCCGCTTTACTGTCTTACTAGATTGGAATACCACTTTGGCAGACATGAAATAAGTTACAAACATTTTTAAAACTCGTTTATTTCAGCTTCTAATTTAGTTTGGTCTTTATTTTCTGTGATTTCTAGTTGTGCCACTGCTCTTGTTGTTTTGGTTGGTGTAGGGCTCATGTGGTGCATGCTTAATCTTCTTAATAGGTGCCTGCCACTCCAGCTAAAAAGTCAAGGTCATCCAGTCAGAGGTCATCAGAAGATGGAGAGCAGCAGAATGTTTCCTTAAATAGCCCATCTTTGCGCAAGTCTCTCATCCCTCGGGTCATGTTTACTGGGGTCATTGATGAACAGGGGCAAAAGGTAACATTTCTGTGGGGTCATTGATGAACAGGGGCAAAAGGTAACATTTCTGTGGGGTCATTGATGAACAGGGGCAAAGGGTAACATTTCTGTGGGGTCATTGATGAACAGGGGCAAAGGGTAACATTTCTGTAGGGTCATTGATGAGCAGGGGCAAAAGGTAACATTTCTGTGGGGTCATTGATGGGCAGGGGCAAAAGGTAACATTTCTGTGGGGTCATTGATGAACAGGGGCAAAAGGTAACATTTCTGTGGGGTCATTGATGAACAGGGGCAAAAGGTAACATTTCTGTGGGGTCATTGATGAACAGGGGCAAAAGGTAACATTTCTGTGGGGTCATTGATGAGCAGGGGCAAAAGGTAACATTTCTGTGGGGTCATTGATGAACAGGGGCAAAAGGTAACATTTCTGTGGGGTCATTGATGAACAGGGGCAAAAGGTAACAGATTTCTGTGGGGTCATTGATGAGCAGGGGCAAAAGTAACAGATTTCTGTGGGGTCATTGATGAGCAGGGGCAAAAGTAACAGATTTCTGCTGCATACATTACAGTTGGGGAGGGGGAGATAGTAGGTTCTGATCATCATATCTTTAAGAAATCTCTTGCCCACCACCTGTATGAAATAAAAATAACTTTTAGATGTTCACTTGAACTCTTTCTGTCTGGGCCCTGCAATATTTGTTGTTGTAGGGGCAACAAATGGGATATAGCTAGCTATTATAATGCTAGTCATTTAGAAAGATAAATGAATTACAAACAGAGAAAAAGCTGCAGATTATTGTGCATTACTTTCAATTACATTGCAATAAACATTTGAATAAAACAGCAGCATAAGACTGAATGAGTGAGGCTCACACAGGCTGCATGTGACAGTCACCACAGTTGTTGGCTACCCTATGTAAAAGTTTGAAACACAGTTGTTGGCTACCCTATGTAAAAGTTTGAAACACAGTTGTTGGCTCCCCTATGTAAAAGTTTGAAACACAGTTGTTGGCTCCCCTATGTAAAAGTTTGAAACACAGTTGTTGGCTCCCCTATGTAAAAGTTTGAAAAAAAAACCTGATTCTGATGTGTCTTAGATACTTTAGTTTCTTTAGTTTTTTAAATAATTGTTGACTAAAAAAGTTTTTCTATATAGTTTAAAACAGACTGGAAAAACTCTTAGCAGTTATTAATAGTCTCTTTAGCCAATAGATTATATATAAATATTATAAAGAGGTAAAAATTACTTTGTCATTGGTTTGTAAATAAAGAGGAAGAATAAATTATTTTGTCCTGCGCAACTTTGAGAAATGAGCATGATGGCAGTAATTTTTACCTTTAGTAGTATCAGCCCCAAACTTGTAGTCCTACCCTCCTTAACTTCAGCTTGACCTTATTTCACAGACAGTCAGAGAACTGGGCGGGGAGATGGTGACCTGCATCAAGGATTGTACCCATCTCATTACTGATAAGGTGAGACACCCCCCCACTATACTGACTGTACCCATCTCATCACTGATAAGGTGAGACCCCCCCCCCCCCCCCCCCATTATACTGGTTGTACCCATCTCATCACTGATAAGGTGAGACACCCCCCCCCCCCCCCCCCACTATACTGGTTGTACCTAGATTTTGATGAATTGTTAATGTTTTACCTAGATTTTGATGAATTGTTAATGTTTTACCTAGGTTTTGATGAATTGTTAATGTTTACCTAGATCTCGATCAATTGTAAATATGTTTTACCTAGATTCGGCGCACAGTCAAGTTTTTAAGTGGTTTGGCTAAAGGTCTGATGATTGTCTCCCCTCTATGGTTAAAAAGTAGCAAACAGGCTGGAACATTCCTAGGTAAATAAAAGTCATTTTTATCTGTGTTTTACTTGACTGTCTAGTGCTAGGTATCTGTGTCATGTTTGGTGTCTGTATGAGGTGGTGTTTGGTGTCTGTATGAGCTGGTGTTTGGTGTCTTTATGAGCTGGTGTTTGGTGTCTGTATGAGGTGGTGTTTGGTGTCTGTATGAGGTGGTGTTTGGTGTCTGTATGAGCTGGTGTTTGGTGTCTGATTGAGCTGGTGTTTGGTGTCTGTATGAGCTGGTGTTTGGTGTCTGTATGAGCTGGTGTTTGGTGTCTGTATGAGCTGGTGTTTGGTGTCTGTATGAGCTGGTGTTTGGTGTCTGTATGAGCTGGTGTTTACATGTGGTGTTTGGTGTCTGTATGAGCTGGTGTTTGGTGTCTGTATGAGCTGGTGTTTACATGTGGTGTTTGGTGTCTTTATGAGCTGGTGTTTGGTGTCTGTATGAGCTGGTGTTTGGTGTCTGTATGAGCTGGTGTTTGGTGTCTGTATGAGGTGGTGTTTGGTGTCTGTATGAGCTGGTGTTTACATGTGGTGTTTGGTGTCTGTATGAGCTGGTGTTTGGTGTCTGTATGAGCTGGTGTTTGGTGTCTGTATGAGCTGGTGTTTGGTGTCTGTATGAGGTGGTGTTTGGTGTCTGTATGAGCTGGTGTTTGGTGTCTGTATGAGGTGGTGTTTGGTGTCTGTATGAGCTGGTGTTTGGTGTCTGTATGAGGTGGTGTTTGGTGTCTGTATGAGCTGGTGTTTACATGTGGTGTTTGGTGTCTTTATGAGCTGGTGTTTGGTGTCTGTATGAGCTGGTGTTTGGTGTCTGTATGAGCTGGTGTTTGGTGTCTGTATGAGCTGGTGTTTGGTGTCTGTATGAGCTGGTGTTTGGTGTCTGTATGAGCTGGTGTTTACATGTGGTGTTTGGTGTCTGTATGAGCTGGTGTTTGGTGTCTGTATGAGCTGGTGTTTACATGTGGTGTTTGGTGTCTGTATGAGCTGGTGTTTGGTGTCTGTATGAGCTGGTGTTTGGTGTCTGTATGAGGTGGTGTTTGGTGTCTGTATGAGCTGGTGTTTGGTGTCTGTATGAGCTGGTGTTTACATGTGGTGTTTGGTGTCTTTATGAGCTGGTGTTTGGTGTCTGTATGAGCTGGTGTTTGGTGTCTGTATGAGGTGGTGTTTGGTGTCTGTATGAGCTGCTGTTTGGTGTCTGTATGAGCTGGTGTTTGGTGTCTGTATGAGGTGGTGTTTGGTGTCTGTATGAGCTGGTGTTTGGTGTCTGTATGAGGTGGTGTTTGGTGTCTGTATGAGCTGGTGTTTACATATGGTGTTTGGTGTCTTTATGAGCTGGTGTTTGGTGTCTGTATGAGCTGGTGTTTGGTGTCTGTATGAGCTGGTGTTTGGTGTCTGTATGAGCTGGTGTTTGGTGTCTGTATGAGCTGGTGTTTGGTGTCTGTATGAGCTGGTGTTTACATGTGGTGTTTGGTGTCTGTATGAGCTGGTGTTTGGTGTCTGTATGAGCTGGTGTTTACATGTGGTGTTTGGTGTCTGTATGAGCTGGTGTTTGGTGTCTGTATGAGCTGGTGTTTGGTGTCTGTATGAGCTGGTGTTTACATGTGGTGTTTGGTGTCTGTATGAGGTGGTGTTTACATGTGGTGTTTGGTGTCTGTATGAGGTGGTGTTTGGTGTCTGTATGAGCTGGTGTTTGGTGTCTGTATGAGCTAGTGTTTACATGTGGTGTTTGGTGTCTATATGAGGTGGTGTTTGGTGTCTGTATGAGCTGGTGTTTGGTGTCTGTATGAGCTGGTGTTTGGTGTCTGTATGAGCTGGTGTTTGGTGTCTGTATGAGCTGGTGTTTACATGTGGTGTTTGGTGTCTGTATGAGGTGGTGTTTGGTGTCTGTATGAGCTGGTGTTTACATGTGGTGTTTGGTGTCTTTATGAGCTGGTGTTTGGTGTCTGTATGAGCTGGTGTTTGGTGTCTGTATGAGCTGGTGTTTGGTGTCTGTATGAGCTGGTGTTTGGTGTCTGTATGAGCTGGTGTTTACATGTGGTGTTTGGTGTCTGTATGAGGTGGTGTTTGGTGTCTGTATGAACTGGTGTTTGGTGTCTGTATGAGCTGGTGTTTGGTGTCTGTATGAGCTGGTGTTTGGTGTCTGTATGAGCTGGTGTTTACATGTGGTGTTGTTTGGTGTCTGTATGAGCTGGTGTTTACATGTGGTGTTTGGTGTCTGTATGAGCTGGTGTTTGGTGTCTGTATGAGCTGGTGTTTGGTGTCTGTATGAGCTGGTGTTTGGTGTCTGTATGAGCTGGTGTTTGGTGTCTGTATGAGGTGGTGTTTGGTGTCTGTATGAGCTGGTGTTTGGTGTCTGTATGAGCTGGTGTTTGGTGTCTGTATGAGCTGGTGTTTACATGTGGTGTTTGGTGTCTGTATGAGCTGGTGTTTGGTGTCTGTATGAGCTGGTGTTTACATGTGGTGTTTGGTGTCTTTATGAGCTGGTGTTTGGTGTCTGTATGAGCTGGTGTTTGGTGTCTGTATGAGCTGGTGTTTGGTGTCTGTATGAGCTGGTGTTTGGTGTCTGTATGAGCTGGTGTTTGGTGTCTGTATGAGCTGGTGTTTGGTGTCTGTATGAGCTGGTGTTTACATGTGGTGTTTGGTGTCTGTATGAGGTGGTGTTTGGTGTCTGTATGAACTGGTGTTTGGTGTCTGTATGAGCTGGTGTTTGGTGTCTGTATGAGCTGGTGTTTGGTGTCTGTATGAGCTGGTGTTTGGTGTCTGTATGAGCTGGTGTTTGGTGTCTGTATGAACTGGTGTTTACATGTGGTGTTGTTTGGTGTCTGTATGAGCTTGTGTTTACATGTGGTGTTTGGTGTCTGTATGAGCTGGTGTTTGGTGTCTGTATGAGCTGGTGTTTGGTGTCTGTATGAGCTGGTGTTTGGTGTCTGTATGAGGTGGTGTTTGGTGTCTGTATGAGCTGGTGTTTGGTGTTTGTATGAGCTGGTGTTTGGTGTCTGTATGAGCTGGTGTTTACATGTGGTTTTTGGTGTCTGTATGAGCTGGTGTTTGGTGTCTGTATGAGCTGGTGTTTACATGTGGTGTTTGGTGTCTTTATGAGCTGGTGTTTGGTGTCTGTATGAGCTGGTGTTTGGTGTCTGTATGAGCTGGTGTTTGGTGTCTGTATGAGGTGGTGTTTGGTGTCTGTATGAGCTGGTGTTTGGTGTCTGTATGAGGTGGTGTTTGGTGTCTGTATGAGCTGGTGTTTACATGTGGTGTTTGGTGTCTTTATGAGCTGGTGTTTGGTGTCTGTATGAGCTGGTGTTTGGTGTCTGTATGAGCTGGTGTTTGGTGTCTGTATGAGCTGGTGTTTGGTGTCTGTATGAGCTGGTGTTTGGTGTCTGTATGAGCTGGTGTTTACATGTGGTGTTTGGTGTCTGTATGAGGTGGTGTTTGGTGTCTGTATGAACTGGTGTTTGGTGTCTGTATGAGCTGGTGTTTGGTGTCTGTATGAGCTGGTGTTTGGTGTCTGTATGAGCTGGTGTTTACATGTGGTGTTGTTTGGTGTCTGTATGAGCTGGTGTTTACATGTGGTGTTTGGTGTCTGTATGAGCTGGTGTTTGGTGTCTGTATGAGCTGGTGTTTGGTGTCTGTATGAGCTGGTGTTTGGTGTCTGTATGAGCTGGTGTTTGGTGTCTGTATGAGGTGGTGTTTGGTGTCTGTATGAGCTGGTGTTTGGTGTCTGTATGAGCTGGTGTTTGGTGTCTGTATGAGCTAGTGTTTACATGTTGTGTTTGGTGTCTGTATGAGCTGGTGTTTGGTGTCTGTATGAGCTGGTGTTTACATGTGGTGTTTGGTGTCTTTATGAGCTGGTGTTTGGTGTCTGTATGAGCTGGTGTTTGGTGTCTGTATGAGCTGGTGTTTGGTGTCTGTATGAGCTGGTGTTTGGTGTCTGTATGAGCTGGTGTTTGGTGTCTGTATGAGCTGGTGTTTGGTGTCTGTATGAGCTGGTGTTTACATGTGGTGTTTGGTGTCTGTATGAGGTGGTGTTTGGTGTCTGTATGAACTGGTGTTTGGTGTCTGTATGAGCTGGTGTTTGGTGTCTGTATGAGCTGGTGTTTGGTGTCTGTATGAGCTGGTGTTTGGTGTCTGTATGAGCTGGTGTTTGGTGTCTGTATGAACTGGTGTTTACATGTGGTGTTGTTTGGTGTCTGTATGAGCTGGTGTTTACATGTGGTGTTTGGTGTCTGTATGAGCTGGTGTTTGGTGTCTGTATGAGCTGGTGTTTACATGTGGTGTTGTTTGGTGTCTGTATGAGCTGGTGTTTACATGTGGTGTTTGGTGTCTGTATGAGCTGGTGTTTGGTGTCTGTATGAGCTGGTGTTTGGTGTCTGTATGAGCTGGTGTTTGGTGTCTGTATGAGCTGGTGTTTGGTGTCTGTATGAGGTGGTGTTTGGTGTCTGTATGAGCTGGTGTTTGGTGTCTGTATGAGCTGGTGTTTGGTGTCTGTATGAGCTAGTGTTTACATGTTGTGTTTGGTGTCTGTATGAGCTGGTGTTTGGTGTCTGTATGAGCTGGTGTTTACATGTGGTGTTTGGTGTCTTTATGAGCTGGTGTTTGGTGTCTGTATGAGCTGGTGTTTGGTGTCTGTATGAGCTGGTGTTTGGTGTCTGTATGAGCTGGTGTTTGGTGTCTGTATGAGCTGGTGTTTGGTGTCTGTATGAGCTGGTGTTTGGTGTCTGTATGAGCTGGTGTTTACATGTGGTGTTTGGTGTCTGTATGAGGTGGTGTTTGGTGTCTGTATGAACTGGTGTTTGGTGTCTGTATGAGCTGGTGTTTGGTGTCTGTATGAGCTGGTGTTTGGTGTCTGTATGAGCTGGTGTTTGGTGTCTGTATGAGCTGGTGTTTGGTGTCTGTATGAACTGGTGTTTACATGTGGTGTTGTTTGGTGTCTGTATGAGCTGGTGTTTACATGTGGTGTTTGGTGTCTGTATGAGCTGGTGTTTGGTGTCTTTATG